ACCCCCACCCTCCCAAAACCCTTTCACCTCTGACGACCCCAAAACACCCCCATCCTCCTGACCTCTTCACCTCTGACCTCATCCCAAAACACCCCCAACCCTTTCACCTCTGACCTGACCTCAAAATACCCCCCACAACCCTGACAATTCACCTATGACCTCACCTCAAAGCTTTGAGTGGAGTGTCCAGAAATGAGCTATATAAGTGTAGGGAATTATTTTATCTTTGGAGACTTTGTATTGACTCTCAGTGTATAATCCAGTATAGTGTACTTTTTGTCGACTACATCAACACTCCCCTCACAAGAAACTAAGCTGGGGGTGAGTGACTGTTGTAAAGAAGATGCCATTAGCGTTAGGAACGTAGACACACAACGCACGCACACGGCGGCCCCCAGCCCCTCCCATGACGTGCACACGCACGCACACGGCGGCGCCCCGCCCCGCCCATGACGCGCACACGCACGCACGCACCCTGATGGCAGTGCCCACGGCGCCGCGCTCCAGCTCCGCCTGCTTCCTGCGGCGCACGACGCGCTCGCACAGCTCGGGCTGGCGCTCCATGGTGAGGAAGAGGTCGCGCAGGGCGCGCTCCGTGTAGGACAAGCCCTGCTCCTCGAACTCGTCCTCCGACAGCAGCTGGCAGAAGGTCATGACCATCGGGCTCTCTCTGTCGAACTCCTCCATGCTTTCCATCGGGGGCCTGCGGAGAGACGTGCATCTTTCTTTCAGTTTATCACAGATTCTTCTCGCACGAAAAGAAACAAAAAAAACATAACAATAAATCCTTGTGCGTGTCGTAAGGCGCTCTGCCAAGAGGGATATCCGCTAAGCAGACAAATAAAGTAACGATCCTGCTCAACATTTAAAATCTGACAGCTTCCATTTACTTTTAAAATTACCCCAGTATAAGCCCTCGGCTGTGATTCCTGCCCGACTCCTGGACAGTACTTTCACTCCAGTTGTACCCTCGCTCCACTCGGCTGCTCTCCTGAGTTTCTAACCCAGCCTCATGCGCTCACGGCACCTGCGATGTCTAGTTCAAGTCTAAAAATCAAAGAGCTTTATTGGCCCGGCCGGTTGATGCTGCAGACTCGCTGGTGTAAAAGGGCGCGTTGCAGAGCGCCTCGAGAGCATGAGAATGATCCTGCTCACCGCGGCGCAATCATTTCAATTCAAGAAGCTTTATTGGCATGAGCAATGAGTAAATCAGTATTGCCAAAGCATTGACAATTAGCAACATCTACAGATATTTACAATATAGACACATCGTAAGACATGTTCATACAAACATATGGAGCATTACTGGGAGACAGGCTCACTGCTCCTCAGGCTGTGACAGGAGATCACATACTGGGCTGCCAGTTCAACTGAGTTCCCTCCTCCCTCTCCCAGTAGGATTGGGACCCGTTGTGATTCTGGCAGGTGTGGGAACTCTGGGATTAGATTTCTGAATTTAGAGAAGAATGTTTCTCTAATCCCGGAGTATCTGTCACAGTGCAGTAGGAAGTGCACCTCTGTCTCTATTTCTCCCCGCTGGCAGTGGGAGCACAGCCTGTCCTCTCTGGGCAGCCAGGTCTGCCTGTGTCGCCCAGTTCCTATGGCCAGGCTGTGGTCTGACCAAAAAAGTTACGAGGGCAGGTGAGGCTCGGGCGTTGAAAGGCGGTTTCCCGGCGCAGCCTCTCGCACTGTGTGTACCGATGATGCACAAAACGAAATGCGTTCGGCTTCTCTAAGCGAGAGTATAGTATAGTAAAATACTTATTTCCAGTAATTCAAGTCGGAGCGGACTACTTCCCAAAGCTGTTTTAATTGTATTAAGCAGTTTAGAATCTGTTTCCGTTATATTGTTTACCGGTAAATCAATGCAATTAAAAAAAGATGGACAGTCAGTAATTATTTGCATGTACTTACCGTTACGCCTTATATTTGATCTGATGGGGGGGAAACGCAACCAAATTAAAGTTTCAAAAGTTCACTAGTTTTTAAAAACACGCACTGTCCACCTCCCGCTTCCCGCAAATCAAATTTAAACCGGAAGCGCTCTCTGGCCAATCCGAGAGCGGGGGAGGACACGTGATCTAGCGCTGCGATCACGTGGGGGCTGACGTCACTGGTTAACTCTCCCACGCGTGTGGCGCTGTGCTGCTGTTTGGGCTGAAAGTCGAGAAAGTTCAGGAGAGGACTTGCGGGTGAGTTTTTTTTTAAACCGAGCGGGCCCAGATTTATTTTCGGCTGCATTCGGCCCCGGTGCATGCTTTAGTTATTTTTTGAGGGCCCGCTCTGCGGTGCATGGGGCAGCACTACTTTTAACCACACCACGAGTGGAAGCGCGGCGGCGAGTGGGATCCTGGGAGGTGTAGTCCACACTCGGGGACCGTGTGTCTGCGAGGGGCTTGTTTGGTTGTGTTCAGGCACATGGCTCTGCAGAGTTTTGGGGACGAGGCGAGCAAGGCGGGTCCGACCGATCCCGAATGGCAGCACGTGCTCTGTGGGAGATGCCGTGAAGTCGGGCTGCTCTGCTCGTGGGGCTCGAGTCGGCATTTCCCGTCGGTGGGTTTCGCTTGCAAAGCTGCAGCAAGCGCGGCGCTGAAGTTTTTTCGCCCCGCTGAAGTTCTGCCTCCCCTGGGACGGGGGGTGTGTTAAAATGCGGAGGCTGGTTGTGTTGTTAAGCGGCTACTTCTGCATTTCAACCCCTCTGTGTTGCCGTCTGTGGACAAGCGCAGAAGGGGTTTAAATGAAGGGGATTTTCCGCCGTGGAGCGCGGATTTTGGGGTAGTGGGTTCCGACAACGAAGTTGCAAAATCAGATTATAAAAAAAATAGATATCCTTGAGACTTGTAAGCGAACGACAAGAAAGTTCATTAGGTGCATGATTTTATCTGTGGGCGCCTGAAGAAACGCGAACAGAGATGGGTTGTTGTTGTTGTTTTATTTTGGGGCTGAAATGAACCAGTTCTCGCTGATTCACGCCGTGTGGTCGTGAATCGTGGTTCCACGCGTGAAGAAAACGGGAAGGGGGGAACCCGGAGCGCGGGCACTGAGGTTGCGCGGCTCGCTCGGTGATGGGCACGGGCGCTCGGTTCCCCCCCATGTAGTCCCGGAGTTTGAGGAGCGGGAGTGTGGCTGATTAGGGAAGCCCTGGTGTGTGTCTGTGTGTCTGTGACCTGGGGTGGGAAACTGCTGCTGTATCACTCAGCCTGCTCCAGCCTGGACCAATAGGTGTCCCGGTCGCTATAGCGAAAGAGAATCTAGCTGCTGATCTAGCCTGGAACAGGATAAGAGACTAACAAGAGTCCTGCCCCCCTCCCCCAGCAGGGCGCAGGAAGTTGTGACCACAGTGTGTTGTTTGGCAGGAAGTGAAGATGGATCCCAGCATGCTCGGCAGGGGCGATACCTGCCCGAAGACGGGGGACCCCCCCCGCTGGTGGGGCGC